GAAGAGGAACAGGAGGCCGATGAAGCTGATTTTGGAGGAAACTCGCGCGATTCGCAGCCGATCTTGCCCATTGAAGGCGCAACAGCGCCCAAGGAGCAGGAGGAGGCCGCTTTCTGGATCCCGCAAGCCACTCCCGACGGCCGCTTGTTCTACTTCAACACACTCACCGGCTATAGCACGATGGAGTTGCCGTTCGAAAACCCAACAGTCAACGAGACCGGCCCGTATGATCGGAACACAGTCATCGTGCCGGACCAGACTCGACCACCGCCGGAACTGATGGCCCGTGGGTTCGAACGCGATGAGGACGACTACGATGGTTCGGCGTCTGAAGCGGAGGGCGAGTCCCTGATGTTGACCTCTCGCGACTCGATGTCCCGGAGGCGCCAGTCATATTTCGATGGAGTGTCACCCGCGACATCCATGGATTCATTGCACCCACCGTCCGCTACGAAGTCGGTTAGTGACGACAAGCTCTCATATCAAGCAATGCGGTCCGCGCAAAACTTCTACGGAGGCGCCCCGCCAAGTAGCAACAACTCCATCTCGGATAACATCCATCGCCCTTCGATCTCCATGGAAGTTCCCTCGCATTTCGTTGATGACGGTGCGTCGACTATTCTGACTTGGCCTTTGCTTGTCGAGAACATGCGGCAGGCCGTGGAAGCCTATCGACAGACCCTGATGAACGGCGACCGGTCAGAGTATGTGCGGAAGGCAGAAGACATTTCTGATCATCTACGCATGTTGCTGGCAGCTGGCTCGGACACGACGGACAACCATTCTGGCAACCCGTCGATCATCTCCACCAACAAAGCCCTCTATCCCCATTTCCGAGATATGATGTCCAAATTCTCCAAGTTGGTGCTCTCGTCGCATATTGCAGCAGCTGATTGGCCAGGTCCGGATTCTGCCAACAAGTGCCTACAAGAGGCAGATGGCGTGATGCAGGGTGTCTATGGGTTTGTGGAGGTCGCAAGGCAGCAGCGCGGCGACTCTATCAATCGCGTTGTCCCAGGGTTCGTTGGTGGAAGCCATTCGGGCGGCTACTGGCAGAACAACGGTGTGCTACTCAGTGAACCTGGCCCGACCTCATTTCTGGATCAGGACGGTGGCGATATGCGAGCGGAGCCCTCTGTGCCCCTTGACGTAGCTCTGCTAGACAAGATCGATATCCTCCGAAGAAACTTTGTGGGCAGCATCCGTCGCCTGGAAGAACGTCTGACGCTCAACCAGAAGAAGATCGTCACCATTGTCGAACACGAAAACATCGGCAACCTGGTTTCGGCTGCTGCTATCAAGGTTGTCGACCAATATCGCCCGTGGATCTCGGCTGTCGAGTCGATTAACTTGGCGCCCCTCGGAACCGGGTTTCAGAACCCCCAACTCGTCGATTTCAGTCTGCAAAAACAAAGAGTCTACGATGCAATCGCCGATTTTGTTGTGAGCTGTCAAGCGGTTACCGCGCCCCTTGGAGATGAGTGGGCTGAATTACGCGGCGATTCACTTGAAGATAGGTTGAACGCGGTTCGCAGCGTCGCGAGACAGCTGGAGAACTTCGTATCACAGATTGGGTTCTCGCTATCACTTCTTCTGGAGCAGGTTCCTGAGCCCACAACCGTTTTCCGCAGCGAGAGTCGCTTGGGTGGAGAGATCGAAAACTTCAAGGTTATTCATGGCCGCGCAGAGTCTCAAACTAGAATTGCAACGGAATCAATCGGTATTCCGTCCTCTTATTCGATTGAGCACTCCACCGAGAAGGTGCGACGCAATATGGACAAGGCACAAAGATTCTTTGGACAAGCGCCACCAGCTGCAATTCCGCGAGAATCCGTGCGAGAGCCGGTTCGCGAGCCGGAAGAAACCCCTTGGTTCTTGAAGATGGATCACGAAGGCGAGGTGTTCTTCGATACCAAGAATGACATTCCCACTCTCAAGTGTGGCACTCTTGCCGGCTTGGTGGAGCAATTGACGCGCCATGACAAGCTTGATGCTTCCTTCAACAACACTTTCCTCCTCACCTATCGTTCTTTCACGACGGCGAAGGAGCTCTTTGAGTTGATCACGCAGAGATTCAACATCCAGCCTCCTTTTGGCTTGAATCCAGACGAAATGCAGATGTGGGTCGACAGGAAGCAGAAACCCATTCGCTTCCGTGTAGTCAACATCTTGAAGAGTTGGTTCGAGAACTTCTGGATGGAGCCGAATGACGCTGCGCACACAGCTCTGCTTGAGCATGTTCACTCGTTCACCAAAGACTCCATTGCAACCACCAAGACACCGGGGTCACCGCAGCTCCTGGCAGTCATTGAGCAACGACTCAAGGGTCAAGATACTACCGTCAAGCGCTTGGTTCCCACGCAGGCTACCGCAGCTCCGACACCCATCATACCTAAGAATATGAAGAAGATGAAGTTCCTGGATATCGATCCGACCGAGTTTGCTCGACAGCTTACCATCATCGAATCACGTCTCTATTCTAAGATTCGGCCTACGGAATGTTTGAACAAGACATGGCAGAAGAAGGTCGGACCGGATGAAGCTGAACCAGCTGCAAACGTGAAGGCCCTCATTCTTCATTCCAATCAATTGACAAACTGGGTCGCGGAGATGATTCTCACTCACGCTGATGTCAAGAAGCGAGTGGTTGTGATCAAGCACTTTGTCAACATCGCAGATGTAGGCATTCCTCTTAATAATCTCGGCTAGTACTAACCATTGTTCAGAAATGTCGCGCGCTCAACAATTACTCCACCTTGACTTCTATCATATCCGCTCTAGGAACGGCGCCGATTCACCGTCTGGGACGCACATGGTCTCAAGTCAGTGGACGCACATATACTGTGCTTGAGCAAATGCGTCGCCTGATGGCGAGCACGAAGAACTTTGGCGAGTATCGGGAGACATTGCATCTGGCAAACCCACCATGCATTCCATTCTTTGGTGAGCAGGCTTTTAACGAACAAGGCTTTTTGAAATGTCTTGATTAGGTGGTGATGAATAGTGGCTGACAGATTATCAGGTGTCTACTTGACCGACTTAACATTCATCGAGGACGGTATTCCATCTCTGACACCATCCGAGCTGATCAACTTCAACAAGCGCGCGAAGACGGCAGAAGTGATCCGCGACATTCAACAATATCAGAACGTCCCGTACCTTTTGCAGCCGGTCTCAGAGTTGCAGGATTACATTCTCAGTAATCTACAAGCGGCGGGCGACGTGCATAACATGTACGACCGAAGTTTGGAAGTAGAGCCGAGAGAGAGGGAGGACGAGAAGATCGCGAGGTATGCTGCTAACAATACTCCTATCGCTCCCACCACTGCACGCGCCAGTCCTACCACAGGAAATGGCAACAATAACCTCAACACTGCCAGCATGCGTACTTTGACCTTCGCGAGCATGGTCGTGTTAACACGATGATAATGTCAATTTGTGTTCTGGCTTCTTTTGCCATTCCCCTGCACTTGTTCCGCTACCCGTGAGGCCATGACCACTCACTTGGGAAGTATGCGCATGCTGCTGAGGGACCGTTATGCATTGACAATTTCTGATTGAACGATCGAAGACTAACGATTTTGGTTTCTAACACGTAGACTCCTATCTGAATCGGGCTTCCTGTAAACCGCCGCTTTACCGCTTCTCCGTCGGGGCGTCTTATCGGGCCAGGCGTGGTGCAAGGCCAATCCTTGCCGGTGTCACAATTGCTACGTGCGCTTGGACGTGACCGCTCCTTTCACCAGTCAAACTTTGAATTAAACTGCCAGCAGCAATGAGCCTATCAGATGCGCTCAGCCGACCCCCTGATGGCGTGATAAGCAAGGGTCGGAGTTGCATACACATACATCAACCCCAACCGCGCCGCACAACCTTATCTCAATCAGCCGAGCCTATCAAGGTGTTTGCCGTCCACCACCACTTATCACATCAATGGATCACAGCCAAGGTGGCAATTTCCTCCCCTGCACTCTATTTTCGACTATCGCATATTACGCCAACCCTGAAGTCGATTTCGCTCCTGTGGCGTTATAGCTCAATTTGAGCTGGAGAATCTGACATGCTGCTTTCAACTGAAACAGTGGGCCTGGATGGTACTATCCATGCGTCCTTACGGCTAGTTGCAGCGCGGAAGTTGGAAAGGTCCACCTCGGCACTGCTGAGCTTTCAAGAATAATGGATCAGGAAAATCAATTCTACGATCTACTTGCCGCTCTGCCCCTCATCGACAATAAAAGCAAAATCACAAAAAACACAAATACGACTGGAACGCCCAGGCAGAATCCCACGCCGGGAAGCATGTACAAATCCAACGAGTGTTGTCATGAACGACGCCGACGAACCTCGATCACGACATAGACTTTATCAATTCTGCCAGTCTCAGTCCCTGTCGTCTCTTCCACCTACCTGACTGAGGGCCTCGTTCTTTTCTTCGACCAACGTCAATTCGACATGACCTTGCAATTTCCTTTGTTCCTTCACTGTCACCTCAACGGCTCTAGCAGTCCTCCCTGCTTTCTATTCCCTTTCGGCAATTGATCGATATAAAAATTGATCATATCTTTCTACCATATATGTTGCTTGTACAGTGATCTGGCTTCCTTCGCTTCTTGTACGCATACCGACGATCCTGTGATCTCTCACCTGGTGCGGTTGATCGTCTTCCCACGAAGGGTCTTACTCATTGTTCGGATTGATGAATAATATGTCATGACACATGTTGCACAGGCATGTGATCTTTGTTGGAACGTGGTTCCAACAGTGATTATACCTTTCTATGATTGTCACCTGTACTTATCTGTTCTACTACCGAGGATATACCTCATATTTTAGTGTATAGACCATATCAATGGCGCTCACCCGCCAGGGCTCAAGAATAAGCTCCGTGATACCAGAAATGCGCAATGAACAAAGTGTAGATGTTAATCCCGCTCCGGTAGCTTCACCCTTCCTGGATTGGTGGAGTTACTGAGCCACAGTGGGACGAGGCTGGCGGTTTATTTTTGTTCAATTTTGTCTAGAAATCGAGAGCAGGCATAAGTCATTCCACCTCATCACTGAACGAAAGGCTTGTCTGGATCATCTGGGCTGCGGCGCTGCATCTGTCGCTTCTTCCTGTCCGATGTTTTGAAATAGCTTCCTCTTCACCTCCGCGGCGAGCAGCCCTTTGACCTCCTCTGACGCAATCCGCTGTCCGTCCCGAGCGATACGGTCCAGCTGGGGATCCCGGACCTGCGTCACATTGCCTCGAGAAACATTGCCCTCCATGCCGCGCGTGGCGCGCCGGACCTTCTGACTGAGATCCATGATCTGCTTACTCCCGTAGTCCTGGGAGGCGAACAGCGGGTTCTGGCTGAGGGTAGCCACCCAGTACTTATTCCACAGCAGATCCAGCAGCTGGGCATCCAGCGTACTCTTGAAGATCTCCACCTCGAGCGAGTAGTAATGGGAAGCATGGGCGCCGAAATCCTCCGCCTTGCTCAACGGCACCGACTGATATCCTCCAGCCCCACCAGCCCCATCCTCCCCATAATCCTCCTCCTCCCCCGACTGCTGCTGCTCCCCCTTCGACGGCACATAATCCTTCGGAAACGTCCGAAACGCCCCGATATCCACCTTCCCGGCCGAGATCGTGCGCTCGGGATCTATCACCACCGCCACAAACGGTCCCCCCAACTGCTGCATATCCTGCGTCGTGACATCAATGCCCGACAACCAACACCCGTACCCGGGGTGACTGTGGTACCACCCGACGGCGTTCTCCATGCGACCCGCATCCCGACACGACTGCAGGTACGACACCATGTACTCGTTGGCCTCCTCCTGGGCGTTTACCCGCGTCTCTGTGCCCTCCACCGGCAGCCGGTAGGCGTCCGTCACCACGAAGGTCTCTGGCAGGATGTACCCCTGCATCAGGCCCATGACTTCGAGTGACCCGCCGGATCGCGCGTGCATGACCATTTTGAGCAGCGCCAGGGCCGAGATCCGGACCGTCTTGAAGTAGTGCGGGTCTTTGGCCCAGGGGCGCTGCGCGGAGAGCGTTCGGTGCGTTTCTTCCGAGTAGGCGTAGAGCGTGTCGCGGTGGGGGTCGATTAGGGTGGTTGCGTTTTCGAGGTCTTTTTGGGGGGGGGGTGGTGTTAGTTTGCGTTGATGTTGATGGTTCGGGGGGGAATGGGGGGGTTCTAAAGTGAGGTGTGATGAGGGGAGGGGAGGTCTGCGGAGATACTAACCCCAGGACCGCAGAGCTGCTTGTTCCATGGTGACTTGGTGTGCTTGCGGTGGTGTGAGATTAGAGGAGGAAGGTCGGATTATGAGGACTGGAGTTTGCAACAAGCTTAATTCTGGGATGATGATGTCGACGGGGACATGAGATAAGATGAGGGGAAAGAGGGGGGTGAGTTGAAAATGAGTTAGTTTACTTATCGGTGACAGCATTGCGGAATGCGGAGACATCCCAGAAAGCGGCGGCGGCGGCGGCCTGGAGGGCGGTAGCTATCATCCGGCAGAATACCGGCAGGTCAGGGCGGTCAACCGCTGATTCAGCGGTTGCTGCAGAAACGGGGCGGGAACGTCAAACAAGGCGCGAAGGGCAATCGAAGCTGAGCGGGCGGGATTTCCCCAGCGCGGGAAGGGGAAGAAGGCCAGCCAGCAGTCAGTCAGGGCAGTCCTCGATTATTGTTGTTCCCCCTCGATCTATCGATCCTCTATTCTCCCCCCCCCCCATCTACATCCACATCCACACCACACCACACCCACCCCAGTCACCCTTGCATCTGCTTGCAGCCGTGAACTCGTTAATAAAATATACGGGTTGTGTCTGGTTCTTGCAGATGCCATTCCACAATCTGTGATCCCTTCTTTTCCTTTCCTTTCTTTTCCCGTACTGCCCCGTCCGCCTTGCAGACTCTGTTGCGGTCTTTCCGCGGCAAATCTTGACAGGTGAAGGCGCACTGTCGCCGCAGATCTTATATGACGGTGGATCGCGAGTTCGCTCCAAGGCGATCGGCTCCGTCAAGTGGGTTGCGCGTAGAATCGCAATCGCTCTAAAGCAAACTTCATACCCGGCGCTTGCACATCACCCGATCCACCTGGGCTTGGGCGGACCATCCCATTCGCAATGGCCGTCGATACCAGCTACCTGACCACCCAGGTCAACACTATCGTGTCGGAACTACATGGTATCTACGATGATATCGGTGTTCCGAGCCATGAGCGCGACTCGCGTGAGGCAGAGGTTCGTTGGCCCCCATCCGCCTCAATCCTCCCTACGGTGATCGTTTGCGACTGACATGACCGAACCCCCCTTCCAGCTCTTCAGTGCTTTGTCGGAAACGCTGAACAACCACCTCAAACTCGTGGACACGTAAGTAATACACACTGCGCGATGAGAAACGAATCAATTCAATTCACTCAGTTGTTTTTGCCAAGAACGGGCGGCTAAATCTTCGACTACAATCAGTGAGAAGAAGGAGATGGAGGAAGAGGCGCAGCGACTCATCACGGCAATTCAACATATGGAACACTCCCTGGTGGATGAGAAGGCCAATGGACAGTACAAGCTCGATCACAATGCCTTGCGCGTCAGCTACCCGCTCAACCGTTGTTTGGCGTTCCTGCGCGAGGAGCACGGCGCGTTGAGCAAATTACACAAGGAGCGTTTCGAGCAAGTGAGGAGTAAGTTTGCTTTCTTGTTTTTTCTTTTTTTGCGCGAAAACAGGAGATCCGTCGGACTGACTGGTGCAAAAAGAACTGGTAGAGGCCCTCGAATCCTACGCGTCGCATCTCGAAGCAACATTTGTCACCATCGAATTGCCGCCGACAGCACCGGGAACCACAATTTCGCCGAGCTTCGACCTCTCCCCGTCCTATGTCACCGCTCTGGACGACGAGTTTACGAGAGTCTACGAAGAATACCATCGACGCTTGGAGTTCGTCAAGACCACTTGCGAGGAGATCATCAAGCTGTGGGCTGAGCTCGGCACTCCCCAGGTGCAGACCGACACGAACATCGTCAAATATTACCGGGAGGCGCCTGAGCAACTAGGTCTTCACGAGTCGGATCTGAACAACCTGAGGGCGAAACGCGAGAAACTGCTGGAAGAGAAGAGAGGTCGGGAGCGCAAGCTAAAGGACCTGAGGACCGCGGTGGAAGCACTCTGGGAACGATTCGGCATCGAGGAGGGCGATCGCAAGGAATTCCTCGCGGCGAACCGTGGCTGTGGCCTTCGCACTATCAACGAGTTCGAGGAAGAATTGGGTCGTCTCAACGAACTCAAGAGCCAGAACCTGCACCTCTTCGTTGAGGATGCTCGGGTTCGTTTGCAGGAGCTATGGGACGCGCTATATTTCTCGGAAGAGGAGATGATCGATTTCACCCCTGCCTTTTCCGACGTGTTCAGTGATGCTCTCCTTGAGGCCCATGAAGGCGAGATCGCCCGACTGGAGACCCTGAAGGCACAGCGTGCGCCAGCTTTGGCACTCATTGACAAGCACCGGAGCCTATTGGCGGAACGAGAGGCTCTGGCTATTTCCAGTCAAGATGCTTCCCGTCTCATGGCACGTGGCGCGAAGGGGGAAAGACGCGATCCAGGCAAGCTATTGAGAGAAGAGAAAATGCGAAAGCGAATCGCCAAAGAATTGCCGAAGGTTGAGGTTGATCTCCGGAAAGAGCTGGAGAAGTGGGAAGAAGATTACGGCCGGCCGTTCCTCATCCACGGAGAGAGATATCTGGACGAGCTCACCCCAGTCGTTGCCAAACCTCCTCCACGATCCAAGACTCCCTCCGCTGCCCCGGCTAGTGCTACCAAGCGGAGCACTGGCCAGATGCAGCCACCATCGCGCCCTGCGAGCGTGATGAGAGGGGCCCCACCCCCACGCTCCACAAGCAAGACCCCCACTGGAAACCACCCTCCAACAAAGTACAACACCATCGGCCCTTCGCGAGCGCCTTCCAGAGCGGGTACTAAGTCTCCCTCCAAGATCCCTGCCCGAGTTCCACTTGGGAACATGCCTCTTGGAAACAACTCCCCCAATCGCCGCGCAGTTCCTGGGGCCTATTCCTCGAGCACCATCAACGGCAAAATCCCAGCACCTCGCCCGCCTCCACCCAGAATGAGGGCCTTGACTGGCGGTGAATCGCGAGAGGAGCGCATGTCCTATCTCTTTGACCCTCCACGGAGCGCTAGCGCGTTGTCGAATACCTTTGTCCGGCCGGTCAGCCCTGAAGACGTATACGATGACCGCAACCAGCGTTCCTTCGTCAGCTCGTCGGCGTTCTCTCAGCGGTCCACTGGATTTTCTCAATCATCGCACTCATCGGCCTCATCGTTATCCTCCTCCATGCAAGGGTTCCCTAAACCCAATCCCTATCTGCAGCGCGCAGCCCCACCCCCCGCTCCAGCCCCCCGACAAGTGTCTAGTACGTCGACTGTCATTACGGCAACTACCGGATCAGAGAACTGGGAAACCTTTGATTCTGGTGATGAGTCGGAAGCCGATGCTAGCGATGTCTATTACGCTAAACTTCGTGCGGCTCATGGGAAACGCCTGTTGGCCCCTGAAGAAACCCCCGTTCTTTCGCTCGGAGGGAAGAAAGCGAAAGGCATTCGAAGTGTCAGCCCCGACGAGCCTGCTGACATCCAGCATAGACAGATGATGCATGCAGGTGGAAGCGACAATGAGTGGACGGATGATATGGAGCCATACTGAAGCATCAAGGGGCCCATCGCTTGCTCCACCTACTCGACACCCCCATCTTGAGCCAAAAACACGGCCATCGGGTTCTTCTGATATTTACCTGTTCCCCTGCCGATCCACCCCGGCAGTCTCTCGCTTGAGCTTCCAAGCCCTTTTCTAAGGCAACGTAATGAAGTGCTGCTCAACGCCCCTAATCTTCTTTTGTTGAAATTCTTCGAGATTATACCACGCCGTTAAGCTGTTATTGCGTTCTGTTTGCTTCAGCCTTTTGCACTTTACTTGTTGTGGTGTCCAGACCATCTGCGATGCCTATTGACCGACCCACTTCACTGCGCGATCGAGGTCCCAGCCCAATACAATTCATTTATTAAACAACGAACGACATGACTTGGATGCCGTTACGAGTTGCACCCCTCCGTGTTGCACTCCTCAAAAAGCTCTCTATCATATTTGGAGCCAAACACTCGACTTCTTGTACTATGGTTATGTTATCTTCCGTTTGAATACTGCTGCAAACACCTTCCCTTACAGGACATGGTCGATACTGCGGTGTCGTTCCTTTGTGAGACTACATAGCATCCCAGTGACTTCCTCATGATGACCACTGCAACTGTCTATGGAGGATTTTGCTTGTCTTATACTTGCGAGCTCTGTCCCTCTCTCTGTTTACTACCTTCTTGGTGTGGCTGTCTTGCTTTGTATGTGATATCGTGTACACGTCGCCTGACATGCAACCCGCTTTTTTCTCCTTTGTGTCGTTTCTGATTTGGTTCTAATATCAGCCTTGCGCCACTGGTTTAATTAGCTTTTTAGTTTGTGATTCAATACATTCATACTTGAATTTGGTTCGAAGTCAGTGCAGAGAAAACTCTGGTTTCGGGGGAAGATCTCTAACTCAGTAAAGCTACTGTGGTTCCTGGCTATGACGAATTTGCGCAGGGTATTCGCAATTGATTTGTGATAGCGATGATCCACAGTCCTTCTGCATTCTGCCTAGCTGTTTCTAGTTGTCGAGACTAATTGGAGGAGACACCACTCCTTGCCCGCTAGTATACCATGGCTAGTCAATTGAGAATAGTCATCGCTAAACATAGCAGTAAAGGTGCACTTTTGACATGCCAGAAGGATGCTAGCGGGACAAGTGGAAATAACAGCTAAGACAGGGTGAGACCTAGGTTACCAACTGGTGGCGAAGAGGTGCGATTGATAAAAAATCAATCCGCAATACTGTTAATCAACTAATGATTCATTTGTGTGATAATCCCCAAGCGGATAGAATCCGGCGTTATGTTCCTCAAGGCGATCACTATCGGCCGCTATCTCGGAGAAACTCCATAGCCCAATACGGTCTCTGGGTATGTAGAAATCAGCTCGACCTTTACTGGTCCTTGACCATCTGCTGATAAGTTGTACGCCAGTCAGTGCCCGTCCACCTTGAAGAATTGTCGGTAGAATTGTCCGTAGAACTCGTCTTAGTATTGAGCTTCTAGGGGCCTGCCTGGCCTGCGATGCGATCGAAATGTAACTTATCTGCCGTCATGGGAATGCTTCAGATTGACTTTTTCTTTTCCTGTCAAACGAATCTTTCCAGTAGAGTTCATTTAGCTGTGGTCTCGTCAAATTCGTCTGGGAAAGGAAAGGGTTGCGGCTGTAGTCCTGTCCCTAGCATACGAACCATCCTAAACAAGATTCCAGGAGTTGGCTCGCCATCGCTTTCTTCGCCAACATTGCAGGATTAAGAGTTTTTGAGGATTGTGTTGTTCTCCAACGCTCTGGCGCGGACGAGCTTTGGATGACGCTATGGTTTATGCTTGTTCAGTGCCTGCAGGGATACATCAGTGCTGTGAGGTTGGTATTATGCCGGGGGAGATACCAGGTAGATCAGCAGAGTCATAATAGGAATATCTGAGAGAATTATAGTCTTTTTTGTTAGAGAAATGTTTTGTACTGAGCTTCGGCCAGTTTGAACTGCGCTTCAAAATGCTGTCGATGGATTTGCTGTAGAGCGAATCCTTTAGCCTTTTGTAGACGCGATGTTTTCTCAACTGCTCTACTGTTAGAGGCCAATAATCACGATGAAACTATAGAACATGGAATGTGATGTTGATTAGCCGGCGGAGATTCATACTTTGTATGCATTGTGGCTCTTTTTGGTTGTGCGGTAGGCTGCAACGAGCTTCAACTTCTTTCGCGTAAGGCCCAACTCGTCTGACTTTTGCAGGTGACATTTAATAACTGTATGCACGTTGGGGATCTCAGGTAGTATTTTTTGTCCAAACCACTTACAGTTTTCCTTGTGCGAGATGTGAATTATGCGATGGAGAAAGTCGCTGACTTTGCCAAGGATACTGCTGATATCACTGTCTGCCTCACGAACGGCGCAGTCAAAAGCACGGCCCAGTTCCCTCATGGTCTCCGTACAGGCTTAGGCCCAGCCAGGTTGATCAGCGTAGTTTGTGGGTTCTTAAACGCGTATCAATGGTTGAAGCATCTCTTCGAATAGGGTGGCCATTTGTCATTGAAAATGCGCGAACTGTTGCACATGTCTCTCTAGTTCTGTACCTGAACTGTCGGCGTGTAATCTGGACACGGGTAGGGTTCGCCTTTGAACAAAAAGCCAATGTGGATGCGGAGAATGTGACGCTCACTCAGTTTCATAGGAAGGCTACTTTAGGGCCAATCTATCTAGAATAAGGTTAGTCAAAGACAAGACATAATACAGAAAGAAAAAGACTTACAGTCAACACAGGAAGGTCATGTACGCGTGATGGAAGCACTGTTATATCCCATCCTTCAATCATCCTGTTGATTCCAGCCCGTTCGTGTAGCATAACTCAAGAACGGGGAGTAGATTTGGCGATTCTTATATCCTTTGATCCGGATTTCGCGTGACAAATTATTGGCTTGACGAGTCTTGTATACTAGACTGAAATAGAGATTGTTCAATTGATAGCTGCGTGTTGTAAACGGGCCCGCTTTTCTGGGAAAGCCTTGTTACATGGGAATGAATCCAGGATATCAAACATTCCCGTTGGCTTTTTCCAATTCGATAGAAGGATGAAATATCGCTTAGATGGAGAAAGAAAGGAGAGGAATGGTGGAGAGAAGGTGGTTCTTTATACTATGTGTATAGATACCTTAAAAATCTACAGTCCCCGATGAATAGGGATACACGTTCACTGATCTTGTATACATCAATAGGGAATGGATTCTTACAAGAGACATATTCACCTGAAAGGCCAGATTTACCAATGAATGTGCTTGATAGGCGGGGAGCTTCACTATCCGAGAGGGCTGGTAGGACTTGCATTACCAAGTTAATGGACAGATCAGGTATTCTTTCTATGAGTAGTTGGTCTGAAGAACTATTATTCCGTACATACTTGTGGTTGTGGTGGTTGGTGGTTCATGTTGTGGGGCTTCCCCGGGAGCCCACATGGTCGTACCCGCGATACAACCCAGCTCAGCTCCGGTTCTCGGTCTCTGTTTTGGGTCTTCTTGGAGGGAGGGTAATGGAGGGGAGGGCGTAGGTGAATAAGACAGCAGAAAAACAGTGAAAGTGTGGATACTTTGAATTTACATACAGAGAGACACATGTCTAGTCTACAACCTATCTATCATACACATACATACATCCACTGACCGCGTTGAACCCAGTCTTTGACAAGGGTGGATACCTAGGTACCGTTCAGTCCCACGGCCCATCTCCTATCCTTTCGTCCAGTAACCCCTAGACCTACCAAAGAAACATGAGAATCAAGAACTCTTGGGCGCAAGCGACCCCATCCACGAACTATCCTTGGGCTGAGTCGCCGCTGCCGCTGCCGCTGCAGACTCCTGCGGCCCCTTATACCGCTTCACCCCACGGTTCGGGACCAACTCCAGCGTCAGGTCCTTGGCATCCTGCAACCGCCGCACCGTCTCCTCCCGTCCCAGCACGACCATCGTCTCCGGGATCCCGGGCCCCGGTGCTCCGCCGGACAGTGCCCACCGCAGATAGTGGTACAGCTCCTTCTTGAAAAACTTGTCCGCTGCTTTACGGGCGGCCTCGTTTTCTGGTTGCTGGTGCTGGTGCTGCTCTGCCGAAATCACGGCGGACGACCCATCGTAGGCGGCGATATTGGCGCGGTGCGTGTCGAGCGTCCAGTGGCTGGGGGGCACAAGAGTGAAAGCCGTGGCGGCCGTGTGGAGGGCGGAGAGCGGGATCGCGGCGGCGGTGGGCGGATAGGTCGCCGACGGGGAGGAGGCCGGCGTATAAGGCGGGCGGGTCAGGGTCGCGGCCGGTTGGAAGAAGGTGGCGTTGCGCGCGAGGAAGTCCTCCGGTTTGGTGTAGGACTTGGCGTCCGCTTGGAGGAGTGGGGTGATGTAGGATTTGAGAGGGCGGGTCTGGAGGATGGGAGCGCTATGGATTGTGAGTGGTTTGTTTGTCTGATGATGGAGGTGAGAGGCAAGACGTACAGCTGCTCCGGAGGGTAGGTGGCTTCGACGGCCGTGGTGAGTTTCTGCACCATCTCTTGGAATTCTGCGCTCTCCGGGGCGGAGGCGAAGCGCTGCGCGTGAGCTTTCTGGAGGAACCAGAGCTTCTCGAAGGCGACGACGGTGTTGCCGCGGGTGATTTTGAGGTTGAACTGGTTTGAGGGATTTAGGGTTAGCTTGATGTGCTGCGTACTGGAGGGATGGAAGTCTTTAGGACAAGACTTACGAGTTGTTCTAGTTCTTCGAGGCTGAAGATATCGGACTTTTGAGCGTGTGACCATCCCAGAAGGGCGGCAAAATTCACAAGTGTCGCGGCGAACACGCTCTGCGTGTCTTTGAAGAAGCTGAGATCGATGTCCGCATTGCGCTTGCTGAGCTTCTGGCCGGATCGGTCCACGAGGAGAGGCACATGTCCGAAGTGAGGCGGGGTCCAATTGAAGGCGTTGTAGAGAGCAACGTGCATCGGGGTCGAAGCCATCCATTCCTTGTAGCTCCTCCATTAGATTCTGCTTCGAGTTGGATGCGGGCCGCGTAAC